TCTCTGTCCCTGACATGTATGTGTCCTGTAGCAAACTAAGAAACAAACATATGGGGTCAGCAGGTGGCATGGTGGTTGAGGCGCTGGAGTCCCACATAACCAACTGCAGCTGAGTCCTGAACTTAGCGGCTTGCTTTCTCGCTTTCTTCTCTGCCTTTCTGTCTCTGGTCAAATTAACAATAATGATGATGATGAATAAAATTAAATAATTCTAAAACAAACAAAAAATAGTGACTTTGTTTTGTTCACTGCTATATCTGCAGGTCACAGAACCTGGTAGTACATAGTAAATACTAAGTGAACAAATGAGTTCATGAATTTAAAACCACTTGCACAGGTTAGAAAAAGAGGATAAGAGGGCTGGCAGGTGGCGTGGTGATTAAGGGCGCTGGACACCCACATGGTCAACCGTAGTTTGAGTCCCGGACCTGGTGGTTTGCTTTCTCACTTTCCCTTTCTCTCTCTCTCTGGGCAAATTAAAATAAATAAATAAAGTTAAATAAAATAATTCTTTTTTTAAAAAAGGATAAAGTCAACATAATTATGTATATTAGGGATAAATGTAGATTTCTGCTTGGACTTAGAAACCTATCTATAGGCAATAACCTCACTTGACAAGTTCAGGCAAAAATGACTTAGTAACTTAGGTGACCACAACTTGGATTATAATTAGCTTAATGCTGATTTATGCTATGGACAGATCACACAAGGGGTAGGTATAATTAATACCTTTCTTTCTTTGGTAATTTGCTATAGGGTACAGGCATTCATTACAGAGACAGAGAGAGACAAAAAGAGAAAGCGAAAGAGAAAGTGAGGAAGCACCTCCTCAAGGGGGATGACCACGCCACAATCCCTTCTCCTCTAGGGATTTTGGACACACATGTACACAGGCCCAGCATGATTTTCAAACCACCAGATCTGGAGCTTGAAGTGCACAGTCAGCCATGTGGGATCCAGCCACTTTAACCACCATAACACCAACTAGCCTAGGGTAGGTATGCTTTCATTTGCACCGTTCATAGTACATATGGAGTATCGGTTATATCACAGGTAATACTAAAAATTGTTATTTTTCTGGGTGTGAATTGATTATGCCCCTGCCAGTTATTGTGCTAGAGCTTTTTCTTTCTGAATCAAAGAAGGCATTGAATAGGTATCATTAATATCTCCACGTCATAACTGAGGGGACTGGGGACTCTGCAGTCTGCCCAGCGCCACACACCAGCAAATGGTAGTGATAGGACTGAAGCTCTGGCCTGCCTGACACCATCGTCTGTACTTTACCTTGTGGATAACCAGGATAGTAAAAGACCTGAAACCATATTGAGTGAAGAAAAATGGAAGAAATTGGGGTTGGCTGTGTGTGTTTAGGAATAACAACTGTCTTCAATTATAATTATTTTAGGCATTTTGATGGGAAAAGGTCTGATATGACTTTATTTTGGAGTGTAGGGTCAGACCAACATGTATACGTTACAGGAAGATAGATTTTGATTTAATGAAAATAGTCAAAGAACTATTACCAGAACTGTCTTTCGGTGGCCCAGATTGCTTCATAAGGCATAAGGCAGTAAGTTTCCATTTTTTTTTTTCCTGGCCATTGTGCACAAGACAGAGAGGGAGGAAGAGTGAGGAATCACCACTGGTCCCGGACTCTAACCTTGGGATCAGCCATGTAGGATCCAGTGTCTTAACCTCTATGCTATCTGCTGGCCCATCAGTTGAAAAATTTCAATCACAAGTTGAATCACCATTGATCAGGTATATTCTGATAGGTATTTAAAAAAATAATTATTTTATTTAACTTTACTTATTTATTTACTTTTTAATTTTAATTTTTAAAAATTTTACCAGAGAGGGACAGAGCGTGTGCAAGAGAGAGGGGAGAGGGAAAGTAAGAAAGCAGGCCACCGGGTTCGGGACTTGAACTGTGGTTGAACATGTGGGAGTCCAGAGCCCTTAACCGCCATGCCACTTGCTGGCCCCTGATGGGGAATTTTTAAAAGGCAATTGAGTTAGATGTCTCTGAAGCTCTTTCTAACTCGATCTCTCATGGTTCTATGCAAGTTGGAACCGGATAAGAAAAGATCACATTTTACAATAATATAGATAAGGAGTAAACGATTATTAACAAAATAAATCAAGGTGAGCATGTTCATAGCTATATTGAATAATAATAACTGTTTAAAAATATTAAATGAAACAAGAACTTGAAAGGAGAGGTTTCACAAAATGGAGGCAGTCTCAAGGGCAGCAGCAACAACACCCTGTTCATCTTTGAACCCCTTGGCCCCTTCCCTCTAACTGGAGCTCAGTAAATATCCGTCTGAACAACTGACTGGATTCCATTGTCAATCAGAATGGGCACAGAACAAGTGGCCCTCCATTTAGAGGGAAGTCAGAGGCTTTCCTGCAAACTGCTGGCTACTGACTAGTGAAAGTAAACATCAATCATTTCTACGGTTAAGAGGAAAGAAGGGAACTACCAAGACAAGTACATTTCTGAGCTCATTTGAAAGGAAGATAGAAAGTTCTAGATTAGGAAACATCTGGGCAACCCCTTTGGCTGTACCATTGATTTAACTCTGTGAACTAAAAGAGAACCCACTGCTGCTTAGAATGCCTCAACAGTATTGTTAGAAAATGGCAGTAGAGAGGCCAGCCTGTGGCCTAGTGGTTAAAGTGGCTGGATTCCACATGGCTGACAGTGTAGTTTGAATTCTAAGCCTGTGGAGGCTTGCAAAAACACACCAGGTGTGTGTGCGTGCATGAGTCCAAAATCCTGAAAGGAGGGAGAAATGGAGGAGAAAGGATTGCGGGCATGACCATTTCCTATGGGATGGGAGGGTGCTTTCTCACTTACTGTCTCTTTCTGGTGAGTGCATATGCCCTCTGGCAAAATTAAAAAGAAGGAAAGAAAGAAAGAAAGAAAGGAATGAAGGAAAGAAGGAAGGAAATGGCAGTAGGGTGAAAAAAAAGAAAAAAGATGAAGGATTCTCATTTTTCAGGGGGATAAAGGAAAAAAATAGAAACAGATGAGCCCATCTGTGATTTACTAAAGTGTCCTCCTGGTCGTGTTTCCCACTTTTGCCCTTTTCCTTCTTCATTTCAGTATTTGTTAACTCTTGCTCCCTCTCCCCAAGATCTAAGGTAGCAGACTAGAAAAGTTGGAGATGTTGAGACTCAGTGCTTTGCCTTACTCTATCCAAAGCTTGGTGGGAAAAGGAACTTATAGCTAATGGCGGAAGAGAGCATTTTAAAGTAGCTATAAATCGCGGTGACCTGTGCTACTTGCTCCTTTCGCCCTCCAAGGTCATGGATAATTGAGTCTTGGCTTGATGTATCTCCTCAGTGCCGCAGCATTTGAAATGAAGCACTCTATGAGATGTGGACATCAGAAGCTCCAGTTTTCTGTGTGGGAGACCCTCCATAAGGGTCTAGCAACCAGCGAAACACCTCTGGACTATGCTCATCTTCTTCAGCTTCTGATCAGACCTGCTATGGACACTTCCTTTCCTGAAACTAGCTTTTTGATCTCAGGTAAGCCAGTGTAATATGGAAGAAGGAGAATAAATTTAGGCAAAGGCAAGACATTGGTTTAAATCCTAGCACTACCCTCCCAAAGTTTAACTTTGGCTAAGTTATTCTCTCTCTCTGAGCCTCAGTTTCCTCATATGACAAATATGTATAACAATACCCACTCCAGACAGTATTGGTTAGGACTAAATAAAATGTTATAAGTAAAAGGGTGATATAATTTCTTTTCCACTAATATTCCCTGGACTTTTCCAAGGACTCTGGAACTGCAGTTAGAGAAAGGAATTTGTTGGAAAGAAGGCTAAGAAAAGAAAGAGATGGAGGAAAATCATGGGTTGCTTGTGTGATCTCAAAAGGGACTGTTATTTTGAAAGCTCAGGACTCAAAGTATAGAGATGCAGAAGGTGAAGTGGAAGAAAAAATACCCTAAAGATTTCGCCCTGGAAAATAAGTGGGAATGAACAGTTACTGGATATAAAGGTCTGTTGTCCAACATACGTTTCCTGATCTTATGTCGTCTTCCTTATGGTTAAGGGGGCAGGGCACAGTGGGCTCATTTTCAAATACCATACCTCCTGGGAATGAGAAAAGCCATTTTTTTGGTAGCTGGATCGTGCCCCCCCCCACTTGAAATACTGGAGTAGGGACACTCAGAACATCTAGATTACTTGAGGGACAGAGTCCTTAAGGGATACGAAGGTCCTCAGGCTGGGAGCAACTCTCACTAACTTCCCCCCTCTCAACTGGAGTAGAATGGAGAGATAAGCAGAGCAAGTCTATTTTATGATTAATTTATTTATTGGATCAGGAGAGCATAGCCCAGAAAGTTTGCTCCCTAGCTCATTTGAAAGGAATCCCCCACAGAGGAAAAACTTCTCAAGCTTGTCTTTCTCATCTTCTTCCCTATTTTCTACTCCACTTTCTGCCCCAGAGAGTGTAAAACTGATCTTAGACTTACAGGGCTGGGTCGGGGACCAGCCGCTCCGGGATGACGTAATGCTTTCTCTGGTACACAAAGCGGCCTCCCCCGGGCTGGGCCTCTCGCCCCTCCCCCTCCGGCCTGGATCGCGCCCCCTCCAGCACTAGCGGCGGGTGAGTCCCCCTTTTTGAAAAGCTAGCCCAAGGAAACAGGGAACAAAGGCCCGGGAAGGAGAGCGAAGGCGCTGCCAGGCCTAGAAATAGACATCACGTCATCCCCTAGCCCAGGAGCACCAAGCGCCATTTGGTAGCATAGGACGGACCCCACCATTACAATGCAGAAAGGACTTGCAGGGCTCACGTTTCCTCTCAGCCCCAGCATCCAGCTGACTGGCTTAAGGAGTGGCTTCCATTTTGCTCCCCACCCCCGCACCTCTCTTTCCCCAGAGGCCTCCGCCTCCCCTGGCTGCCAGCCACACAGCCCACAGTCTCCAAGCTGCCATCTTGATGCCCCATCCCCCTTGCCACCTCCCTCCCCCGCAGCACTTAGGAGTGGGAGGGGGAGGAAGGGGCACCGCCCTGCGTGCCCCAAGGGGGAGGGCTCGGCCTCCCCCCACCTCTCCTCCCCCAGAAGGAGGGGTTCGCGTCCTCCGCGCGCTTGCTGTTTCTCACCTCCAGGAGTGCTGACAGTGCACCACACAAGGTTTTAGCCTCCTGGACCTCCCCACCCTCGGCTGTGGCTCTGGCCTCACCAGTCTCTGCAGCCCATGGCTCAAGTTCAGGCTCTGGTCGCTGCCCGCTACCCACCACCACAGCCCGATTCCAGCGGGGCTAGCACTTTGAAGGCTATGGTCTGGGCTTCACTCCATGACCAGCCTCTGGGTCGCCTTGGCTTTGCAACAGCCCCGAGCATCTCAAGCTTAGTTTCTCCGAATCTACTTACCAAAGCTAGGTCGGATATTGGTGATCTCAGCCATGTCGTAATCAGAGGTTGTTGCTATAAATGCTTTTGCAATGGGCAGACAACTCTGGGGACCCCCGGTCAGTGCCGAGGCCGCCGCTGTAGAGCTCTAGGTCAAGGGAGGGGGAAGGTATCTGGCGGACGCCTCCTGCGACGGTCCGGTCCCTGGTTGCCAGCTGCGCTCGCCTGTTAAGATGCTCCAGGGATGCTCTGAGCTAAGGATGCAGGTGCAGTCTGACTGGTCCTGATGCGAGGTAGGCTCCGCCTTCTTCCGAACGTCCCTCGGCAGAAGACTCCGCCTCTGTCCGAAAGGTTCCGGAATGCAGGCACCACCCCTTTCCGGAAGCTCTCCGGGAGGAGACCCCTCCCACGGCCGAGTTTTCCCGAGAGTGAGGCCCCGCCTACTGGCGGGCGGTGGGTTTATGAGGCCGAGGACCCGAGACCGCAGAGAGAAAGAAGCGTGGTAGGTTCTTTTATGAGGTCTTGTAGATCCTGTGATTACGCTCCCCTGTACTTAATATGCAGAATGTTCTCGGTGAGAGAGAGCCTAGGGTTTTGGAAAAACAAAATTCTATAGTGCCTGGGTTTCAGTGTCCATTGCCATTATTGTTACGCATTTCTGAGACCACTAAACGGTACTATAGAAACTTTCTTAAATTTCAGAAACTCTGATTAAAGACCAAACCTGGGAATGGTTGCATAACTGTGAACATTTACTACAAGCCATTTAATGTAAAACAGATTTCGAGGTGTGTAAATTAAAGCTTTTTTTTTTTTTTTAAGACTTATGACAATATCGACGTTAATCAGTGTTGAACAGTTCTCAAAACATCTGTGTTTTCTGTAGGTAGGTCAAAAGGAGGACGCAAAAGAAACTCCAAGCTTCTGGAGACTTCCTGGCTATTTGGCAGAATTGGTGTGATTCACGTTAGTCAGACTTCTGGCTATTATAGCCATGACTACGTTAATTTCACCCTGCATTTTGGTTGTGATTACTTTCATCTTGTCTCATTATGTTTACAGACAGGATCAGTTCAAATGGATAAATATTTGTTGGTGGTTCGTATGTAAAATGAGGAAGTTGATGTGTTTTTCCAGCATTTATTCTGTCCTTATAGAAAAGTGAAAAGAACTTGGTTCTGGGAGTCATTCGTTCATTTATTTAAAAAAACATGAATTACTGAACATCGCCCACCACCTCCTAGGTACCATTCTGGACACTGGGTTAATGCATTAGGAGTTAGTCAGGATACCTAGTTCCCCCCAAACCTGATTCACCTTCCTAACTGTGAAATCACCTACCCGGATGAGGTAGAATTTTGTTCTGGAGTCCAAGTGATAATTTAAGGACAGCATTTTATACAATGCAGTTTTATTTATTTTTAGAGAGATTTTTGTTATAGGTTGCATACACAGGCGGGAGAGGCAGAGACAGAGAGAGAGAGAGAGAAAGTGAGAAATCATCCCCCAGGGGGCAAGGCCTCGCTGCAGTCCCTTTTCCTCCATTCTCTTTTCCGGATTTTGGCCATGCACACGAACCCAGCATGTCTCAAAGCTGCCAGGTCCCGGACTTGAGCCGTGGTCAGCCGTGTGGGAGTGTAGTACCTTAATCACTACGCCATCTGCTGACCCCAATGCGGAGTTGTATACAGATGTTACTAATTACTATAGCTTGTGTCCAATATTGCCTCAGTTTTATTCAGGAACTTGTGTTAAATGTAATGTAGAGATTCCTCTGTCTGAAATGTTATGAATTCTACATTTCCCTGTGCCTTGCGGAATGAAAGATCAGCTATCAAATTAAACCACCGCATCTCAGCCTTCAGTTTTGTTTTGAGCAGGATGGCTCCAAAAGCAGAGAAAACGTAGTTCCTTTAAGTTTGTTTTGCCAACACCTGACGTACTAGCACTGTGGCTTCACTTCACCCTGAAATAGTATGGCGGCCAGCGTTTGGCGCATGCTCTTCGACGCCCTGGGATGCCTCGCGCAGTGGGACTCGGGGGCGCGCACGTCAGTCACTGACGTTAGCCGACTTCCGGTGGTGTCGGAGCCGAGTTTCCGCGGGATCTGGCCAGTTTAAGAGGTTGCTGGGTCTAGTGCGCTGGTGGGGAAAAGGCAAGTGGGAGCTGGGACACCGGGGCGAAGGATTTCCAGGATGAAGGGTCGGGTGCGAGGGTGGACGTGGGGTGCGTGACCGAAAGTAGGGGTGCAAAGATTTCTCGTTAGAAGTGGGTCCTGGGGCTAGTGCCCGGCACTGGGGTGGAAAGCGCAGTTGGGACCCATTTTTGCAATGTTTGGCGTGGAAGGTCCACTTAGAGGCTGCCTCGGGCTTGGCATGCATTCACCCTGTTGGTCCGACTGTGGTCCCCAAGGAAACCGACTTTCCGGCTTGCTGTGTTTGAGGTTCCCGGAGTCTGTCCGTGTATGCCGCTTTGAATAGTAGCTTCTTTTCGCTTTCTCCTCTCCTCTTGCCTTCTCTCCTTTCCTCTTCTCTCTCTTGACTTCAGCATTTCATTTTAGAAGTAAAGTAGTTGCCTGGCATACACCCACTCCATTCCTTCCCCCCACCACTTTCCCTTACAGGAGTCAACGGAATCTTCACGAGTTTATGGAGCCTTAATTACCAAGGTAAGGATACCAGCTGGGGGTGGGGTGGGGGCATTGGAAATTTCTCCTGATGTCCTGGAAAAACTGAAAAAAGGAGGTTTAAAACTAACCTTATGAGTCAGATTCTTAAGAGCTAGAAGGCCTTTATTTCTTAGTCTTCTAGGTTAAGCTTTCTTCTGGTGCTCTGCTAGGTGGACATTTAAGCTTTGCTTGGACATCCCCAATGACTGTAATGTAAGGCAGCTTATTTCGTTCTTGGATCTGTTTATGAGAGTCAAGTTTTCTTGGCAGAAAGATGCAGTTAGTTTCTATGTAATGCCTGCTGCTTGGTTCAAATGCTGCCCAAAATAAGTTATTCAAACCCTTTTTCATTGGTTTATTTAGAGAACAATTATTGCATATCTACAGTACTCTGTGATACATTGTCATCGGTACTCAGTGATACATAGAGTGTGTGGTAGATACTCAGTGATACATTGAGTATCTGTAGTACCCAGATATTGCTGGATACTAGTTGAAAGGTAATATTTCCTGAGTAAGTTCATAGTTTTGGGTGACAGAGACGGAAGGGGATAGACAAATGAAGAGACAGTTACAAAAGTAGTAAGTACAATATAAGAGATTTGCAAACAAGTTGTGTAAGAACATAAAAAGAAGATACTGTCTATTTTAGATCAGGGTTTTCCTTGAAATGCGCTAACTGGAATTGAGGCTAGGAGTACAGAAGTAATAAGTAAAGAGAACAGAAGGAATCTCTTTTCCCTTGTTTCAGCACAGACTTTCTGTAAATGTAATCCAACCTTTTTACATCATAGTACTTTGCTTTTGCATTGTTTCTTTAGAGGATATACTTGTTTATGAAAACAACAATAGCGAGCATTATCCATTATCGATCAGGTACTATCTGATGATGTAAGTGCTGTTTTTATTGCCTGTTACAGCCAAAGACACAGGTTCAGGTTAAATTGCTTATTATTATCTTTAAAGAATTATGTATTTAATTTTATTTGTTATTTATTTATTTATTTTTGGAGAGGTTTTCGCTATAGGGCGCGTACGCTCGCCAGACAGAGAGAGACATAGAGACAGAAAGCGAGAAATCACCCCCCAGAGGGGATGGTCATGCCGCAATCCCTTCTCCTCTGTTCTCCTCTCGGGATCTTGGGCACGCATGCACATGTGCCCGGCATGAGTTTTAAGCCACCGGGTCCGGGATGTGAACTGCGGTTGACTACGTGGGAGTCCAGCGACATAGCCATTACGCTAACTGCTGGTTCCCTATTTGTTATTATTTTTTTAAATTTGACCAGAGAGAGACAGAGAGAGAGACAGAGAAAGAGCAAGGGAGAGAGCAAGCTGCCAGATCTGGGAATAGAACTTTAGTTGGCCATGTGGGAATCCAGTCTCTTTAACCACTACGCTCCATGCCAGCCCCAAGGTTAAGTAAGTTGTGCAAGATCATGAAGCAGAGAGGCTGACTTGGGAAACAAGTGCAAACAGGGGGACCCCATAGTTTGTGCTCAGCATTGTGGTGTTTCCATGTTCCATGTCCCTGATAGTGATAATGATAACACCAACACCCTTACTAATCTCTATCAAATTCTTATACTATCCAGGAAGAACAATTTTTTTTTTTAATCAGTTGAAACAGAAGCTTAGATAGGTTAAGGTCAAATTCTTATAATATCCAGGAAGAACAATTTTTTTTTTTTTTTTTATCAGTTGAAACAGAAGCTTAGATAGGTTAAGTCACTTTGTCAAGGTAAAATGCCAGAAACTACTAGAGTTTTTTTTTTTTCCAATTTTTTTTTTTTAGATTTTTGCCATAGGGCACATACTCTTTTTTTTTTTTTTTTTTTTTGAGAGTGAGAGACAGAAAGCGAGAAGTCACCCACCAGGGGGGATGGTCACACCGCAATCCCTTCTCTTCCATTCTCCTCTCGGGATCTTGGGCACACACGCACACGCGCCTGGCTTGAGTTTTAAGCCACCGGGTCCGGGACACGAACCGTGGTTGACTACGTGGGAGTTCAGCGACATAGCCATTACGTCAACTGCTGGTCCCTAGGGCACATACTCTTTTGGACTGGAGAAAGACAGACAGTGAGAGAAAGTGAGAAATCGTCCCTCAAGGGGAATGGCCACATGCAATCACTTCTCCATTCCCCTCTTGTGATTTTGGGAGAAAGACAGAAAGACAGTGAGAGAAAATGAGAAATCGTCCCTCAAGGGGAATGGCCACGTGCAATCACTTCTCCATTCCCCTCTTGTGATTTTGGGCATGAATGCACGCATGCCAGGTATGATTTTCAAGCCACTGGGTCTAAGACTCGAACTATATTTGGCCTTGTCGAAGTCCAGCACCTTAACCGTCATGCCTCCTGCTGGCCCCATGGAGTTGGAATTTGAACTTAGCCATTCTAACTATGTCTCTCCTGTCCCACCTAACAGGGACTTGTGCATTTGGTGTGAAGTACCATGTTCATAAGTGAACATGAACAATTGCAGAGGTACTTGAGCAGATGTTACTACCGTTAATTAATATGAAAGTCTTAAGAACTTACTTTCACCTTTCAGGATGGAACACAAGTGGGACTTTTAAAATGTTACCCTGTAAGAAGAGAAGAACTACAGCGTCAGAATCTCCACAGGATACAGGCAACCCAGAGGAAAGTGACCTAGACCTACAGTCAGCTGTTAAGTCAGACTCTGACCAGGTCAAAGACTTGGGGTCAGTGACACTGTCTTGGGGTTCCTGTCATGGCAGAGCAGCTGGCCTTGAAGTACAGTCTCTGCAGGATGCAGGAAATGAACTTGGAATGGACGATCCATCTGTGACCTGTAGGGTGCCCCCCCAGGACACAGACATACCAGTGCTAGAAGCTGTGGACGTGGCCATCTCTCAGGGAATCACCCTCCCTTCCTTGGAGTCACCCCATGCCCTTAGTACACACGTTGGTAAAGGAAAACCCCAGGCCTCTGGCTCTAGGCGAGGGAAGAAAATTGTACTCAGGCCCGGGCCAGTTGCCCAAGAAGACAAAGGTTATCGTCCTGTCCTCAAGGAGCCTTTTTCAGGAGAGCCTAGTGAAGAAGTCAAGGAAGAAGGAGGTAAGATGTGAAAGAAAGAAAGGTCTGCAGGCTACATTTTCCTTGTCAAAATTACTTTCCATTGCCGTCTCTGTAGTGCCTGTTCAGAGAAGGGTATCTGAAAGGGGGTACTGATTAGCTTGGAATTGTGGTGTTACAGTGGTCAGCGGTGAGCTTTATGAATTGGTAGAGGCTTTCTTCTCTTTTTCTCCCCGTCTCATCCTCTAGATCCTCTTCCGTAACCCTTTATTTGTTCCCTCTCATCCTTTTTTTTCTGCCTATCTGGAGGGAGGAGCTCCATTTCTGTGTATGACTGCTGTGATTTGGTGGGTGTCTGAGCTGGGGCTGGAGAGGAGCAGTGGCTGAAGGAGAGAGTGCTGCGTGGGTCATGGAAAGGCCCTCTGTGAATTCACCTCAGTCAGGAAGGGTGAACTGCCATGGGGCTGAATGGTGGCACGGCTAACTAGGCCGAGAGTGGTCAGCACAGGCACAGCGAGAAGAGGACGGTGGCGTAGTAGCTTGGAAGAAGTGGTGGGAGGTGATTTCACTGTGGTAGATTGTGCTTGGACTGTGAAGGGCTCTGTTTTTTCATGCCAGGGTGCTTGGACTGCTCCTATAGGTAGGTGATAACCTTTTTTTTTCTTTTAGGTTTTTGCCATAGGGTGTGTGCCATCGTCGAAGAGAGACAGGGAAAGTGAGAAATCAGCCCCGGGGAGGATGGCCCTGTCACAGTCTCTTCTCCAGTCTCCTCTTGGGGTTTTGGGAATGCATGCACATACACCCAGCATGTTTTTCAGGCTTCTAGGTCTGGGACTTGAACCATGCAATCTGCCATGTGAGAATCCAGTGCCTTAAGCACCATGCCACCTACTGTCTCGCCTTTTATTAGTTTTTGCCATAGGGTGAATGTGTTTGCCAGAGAGAGAGGGAGGGAAGTGAGAAAGCAACCCCAGGGGGGATGGTCATGCCACAGTCTCCTCTTCTCCATTCTCCATGTGGGGTTTTGGACACCCATGCACGCGCACCTCCATGATTCTCAAGCTGCTGTTTCCCGGACTCGGAACTGCATAGTCTGCCCATGAGGGATCAGCCGTCATCTTTTTTTTTTTTTTTAAGAAGTATTTTATTCAATTTTATTTGTTGTCATTTTATTTTATTTTATTATTTTTTTTTTTCTGAAGTTGACCAGAGAGAGAAGGAAAGTGAGAAAGCAAGCTGCCAGGTCTGAAACTCGAACTGTAGTCAGCCACATGGGAGTCCGGCCGCCTTAACCACCATGCCACCTGCTGTCCCCAACCGTCCTCTTAACCTCCATGCCACTTGCTGGCCCAGTGATTGCCATTTTAATAGCCAAGCAGAATGCATTTATGTATTAAAAAAAATCAACTTCTCTTCCTCATTTTGATTAGGTTTTAAGTGGCTTTCCCTTTTCCCTTTTTGGTGGTCTTATTTTGTCCTCAATTTTTTTTTTTTTTTTTTGGTTATACAGCTATGCGCTCACTGGGGAAAGACAAAGGCGGAGAGAGGGAAAGTGAGAAGTTACCCCCCAGGGGGCTGGTCATGCCACAGTCCCTTCTCCATTTTCCTCTTATGATTTTGGGAATTTGTGCACACACACATCCGGTGTGTTTTGCAGGTCACTGAGTCTGGGTCTTGAACCATGGAGTTGGCCATGTGAATCTACTGCCTTAACCACCATGTCTGCTGGCCCCAACAGGTCATGTTTGTTTGTTTGTTTGTTTAAATTTTATCTTTTTAAGAATTATTTTATTTAACTTTATTTATTTTTAAACTTGACCAGAGAGGGACAGAGAGAGAGAGAGAGAGAGAAGGAAAGTGAGAAAACAAGCCACCAGGTCCGAGACTCAACTCCAGGTGGCCACGTGGGAGTCCAGTGCTCTTAACCACCATACCACCTGCCAGCCCCCGATCATGTTTTAAATCAACTGTCAGAGCAAACAATTTCTGTGCCACTTCGACGTGATGAAGAAATTTGAGAGAGAAAGTTAGATATCAAAATATGTTTGTGGGGGGCAGCAGAGGGCATGGAGATTAAGGCAGATGGACCCCACATGACCATGGGTCTAGTTTCAGACCCCGTGGCCTGAAAATCACACTGGATGTGTGTGCATGAATGACCAAAGTCCTGAGAGGAGAGTGGAAGGAAAGGGATTGCGGTGTGGCCATCCCCACTGAGCTGATTTCTCACTTTCTCTTTGCGGCAAGTGCACACTCCTTTTACCAAAAAAAAAAAATATATATCCCACATGACCAACCATGGTTTGAGTCCTGGACCTGGTGGCTTGCTTTCTCACTTTCTCTCTCTCTCTCTGTCTCTCTCTCTCTCTGCCTCGCGATGGTCAAATTAAAAAATAAACGAATAAATAAAATTAAATAAATAGTTATTTAAAAAACCCCAAAACCTCTTAAAACAAGACAAAACAATATAAACAGCCTCCCTAGTAGCTTAAAGCCACTTTTCTCATTTATACCATCTGGAGTAATATAGGGTACACATGCCCTAGAGCGAAGGGAAGAAAACAAGAACAACCAAACCCATTGTTTCGATCTACATTTCCAGATAGAACATGTGCCCCAGCACTAGTACACTAGTAATGAAGCTGTTCCGAGTGTGTCTGCAGGGGTGCACCATGGTAAGAGCTGGTTCTGTAGGAGAGCTCTTTTCCCCAAAACCTCCATCTCCGACAGTGTGTTCCAGACAACTCATTAACTACTTCAAATGCAGTAAGACCAGAAACACAACATTTTGCAGTATATACACTCACCATACAGTACCAACACAGTCAATTAACAATGGGGGAAAAAACACTTATTAAGAATATTAAAGGGGGGGACCAGCGGGTGGCGTGGTGGTTAAGGGTACTGGATTCCCACGTGGCTGACTGGTTCGAGTTCTGGATCTGGTGGCTTGCTTTCTCACTTTCTCTCCCTCTCTCTGTATGGTGAAATTGAGAGAAACATGAGGGACCAGCAGGTGGCGTGGTGGTTAAGGTGCTGGACACTTGGACATCTCCCACATGGCCAACCATGGTTCAAGGTCTGGACCTGGTGTCTTGCTTTCAAACTGCCTCCCCTCCCCGTGTATGGTCAAAATTAAAAAAAAAAAAAAAGACAAGTAAAATTAATTTAAAAAATTCTAAAAAAAAAAAGAGAAAGTAACAAGTGAATAAATAAATGAAAGTTAAATAAAATAATTCTTAAAAGAATGTATTAAAGGGGCCAGCAGGTATTATGGTGGTTAAGACACTGAACTTCCACATGGTCAACTGCAGTTCTGGACCTGGTGGCTTGCTTTTTCACTTCCTTTACTTTTTTTCTTCCTCTGATCATATTAAAAAATAATAGTAACAAATAAAAACAATTTTGTTGTTGTTGTTATAAGGCCCATGCACTTGCCAGAAAGATAGAGACAGAGAGACAGAAAGTGAGAAATCACCAGAGAAGGAAAGTGAGAAAGCAAGCCACCAGGTCCAGGACTCGAACTGCGGTTGACTACATGGGAGTTCAGTGACAGAGCCATTACGCTAACTGCTGGTACCCTAAATTTAAATTTTTTATTTTTTATTTTTTTGGGAGATTTTTGCTATAGGGCGTGTGCGCTCACCAGAAAGACAGAGACAGAGAGACAGAAAGTTAGAAATCAGTTCCCCGGGGGGGATGGCCGTGCCCCAATCCCTTCTCCTACATTCTCCTCTCAGGATCTTTGGCATGCACGTACATGCACCTGGCGTCACTTAAAACCACCGGGTCTGGGACTTGAGCCATGGTCAACTACTTGGGAGTCCAGTGACATAGCCATTACTCCAACTGCTGGTTCCAGGTTTTATTAATTTTTTTAGAGATTTTTGGTATAGGGTGCATGTTTATTAATTTTTTTTAGAGATTTTTGGTATAGGGTGCATGTGCTCGCCAGAGACATGGACTGGAAAGTGAGAACTCTCTCCCCAAAGGGAAATAGATACACCACAGTCCCTTCTCCTCCATTCTCCTTTTGGTATTTTGGGCACACACTCACATGCATCCAGCGTTGGTTTCAAGCCACTAGGTCCAGGACTTGAACTGTGGTTAACCAGGTGGGAGTCCAGCATCTTAACCTCCACGTCACCTACTGGCTCCAACAGGAATTTTGATTTAATGGCTTTCGGGTTCAGCTCCTTGCATAACAGGTCCCATTAAAGCCAAAGCCTGGGCTAGATGGTGATGCAGTGGGTAGGGCAGCTGTATTGCACATGAGCCACTGTGTGATTCAGGTCCCAGACTCGATGGCTTGAGCAAAATCCTGGGCATGTGCATGTCCAAAATCCTGAGAGTAGAATGGAGGAGAAGGTATTGCAGTGTGTCCATTGACCTTGGGGAGGGTATACCCTCATCCCCTCTTTGAGAAAGCACAAGCCTGTAGCAAAATTAAAAAATAAAACAAAAACAAACAAACAAAAAAAAACCCACGGACTCTGGAAGTAAAGTTACAAGATTATAAGTATTCAGGATCAGTTCATGATTTATTTGAAAATAAAGGCTTTTTTTCTTGAAAAGGTAGGGGGTGATTCTTCAGTTGAAAAACATGTTTTCACCAGTTGAGACTACTAATGGTGAGAAAACAGTCCAAAATCATAATTTTTTTTTTTTTTTTTCTCAGGAGACTGAGCGAGGGGGCGGGGGAAGGAGACACAGTGAGAGCCAGAGACAGAAAGAGAGGGGGAAAGTGAGAAAGCACCTCCCCTGGTGGATGGTTGCGCCACAATCTCTTCTCTTCCATTTCTCCCTCCATTTGGGATTTTGGGCATATTACCTCGCCTCCTTCATTTCACCTGCTTTTGGGATTTGGGACATGCATGCATAGATCCTGGGCCAGGCTGGGGTGGGACTGGGCTCGATTCATGTAGCTGGCCGTGTGGGTGGGATTCCGCTGCCTTAAACCACCATGCCACTGGCTAGCTCAAGGCTATCTGTTTTGAATGGGACCCAGTGACACAGAATTTGGTCTCTTTTTGAAATTTTTTTCCATGTAGGGAGTATACAAATATGAAAAAGTTAGGCACCCTTTTACTGTGTCTTGTTCCCAGGTCCCCTTTCGGATCATTGTTTAATGTCCTTGGGTAAATTCCTGAGACACTCCAGGTGTAAGCAGGCCTCTATGTGTGTGTATTCTCTTTCCCCTGACAACTTGATTTGCAGTGTTTTCTTTTGATACCATATGAACGTTTTTTTTCCTTCTTACTGCTACTCTCCCCCTACAGAGTGTTTATGAAGAGATGAGGTGAGAAAGTTGTCTAATGAACTGTAGAACCATATATTTGTAATTTTATAGTGATGTTTACTGTTCTGTAAAATTGATTTGTAGAATCAGGACATTTTATAATTATCATTTATACTTGATTAAATGTAGTTGTTAATGGTCATCTATTAGGTCATCGGGAAAGTTATGACGTATTTTTCTATGCAAAAATGAGTCATGACTTTTCCGATAATCCAGTATATAGAATGTCCCTTTGTCATCCGTAGTGCCTCCTTTACAATTATGAATCTGATTTTTCCATGGGGAAAAATACAGAGCTGAAAGCATATTCGAGCCAGATGTACCTTAGCAATTACTGGTTCAGCGCCTTTTCTTTACAGATGGGTAAGTTTGATCTGAGCTCCGATATCGGCGTTTTTCTTAGGAGCCTATGTTTGAGAGAGAATGCCCGTAGCGTCTATGCTTCATTCATGAATGTGTCTAACTAAACAGACTTTATAACAAGATGCTGATTTCTGTAACCAAGCAGAATTGAGAAAGCACAAAGCGTAGAACAACGTTTGTGATTCTTCTAGGAAAACCTCAGATGCATTCTGGAGGGGAGATGCTTTCATTACCATCAGGCAGCCAATCTGCAAAACCAGGAGCCCAGCCTAGGAAGTCATCCCAGCCAGAGGCCTGCGCCTCTCCTCAAGAAAAGCCACACAGGACTTTGGCTCTGCAAGCTGAGGAAGAAATGGAGGATGGTGGACTCTTTATTCCAATGGGTAGGCTTAATTAAAAACAACAACAAAAACCAAAACCTCTTTATTGAAGTGTCATATGTAGGAAAATGCACATATTCTAAGATATCCTGAGTTCACTGAATTTTTAGAAATTTAATACATGCCCGAGACCAACAGGTGGCATGGTGGTTATAGGCACTGGATTCCCACATGGCCAACTGCGGTTCAAGTCCGAAACCTGGTGGCTTACTTTCTCACTTTCTCTCCCTGTGTGATCAAACTTGAAAGTGATAATAATACAATAAATAAAATTAAATAAAATATAAAAACCCCCAATTTAATATATGCCCATGCATGCACCAGCAACCAGGCAAGAAGCAGAATGTTACCAGGACCCAGGAGTTCCTTTCAGTTTGTGCCTCACACCCATGTTTACCTGCTGTCCTCACTTCTGGTAGCATATATGGGTTTGTCTGTTACCTTTTTATGTGAATGAAGTTATATGTATGTACTTTTTGTGACTGCCTTTTTTCTTTCTTCTAGTTTTTAATCTTTTTTTATTAAGAATTTTATACAACCACATTATCACGTATCTTTTTCATATTGGACTGGTTAGCAAATGTTGCCAGAGAAAGAGGAAAAAAAAAACATTAGGCGGGGCCGGCAGGTGGCATGGTGACTGACCGTGGTTCGAGTCCTAGACCTGGTGGCTTGCTTTCTCACTTTCTCTCTCTGTCTCTCTGTCTGTACCTCTCTAGTCAAAATAAAAAATAAAGTTAAATTTTTTTTTTTTTTTTGCTGTAGAGCGTGTGTGCTCGCTAGAAAGAGAGAGACAGAACGACATAAAGCGAGAAATCACCCCCCAGGGGGGATGGCCATGCCACAATCCCTTCTCTTCCATTCTCTTCTCAGGATCTTGGGCACGTATGCACACGCGCCCGGCGTGAGTTTAAGTCACTGAGTCCGGGACTCAAACCGCTATCGACTACATGGGAGTCCAGCGACATAGCCATTACGCCAACTGCTGGTCCCAAAATAATTAAAAAAAAAAACAAACAACAACAATATTAGGTTCAGAGATAGCCTAGAAGTGACAGGTTATTTAAATAAACACAATATTTTTGTTCCTGATTCCTTCATTTGTTCATTCATTCAGTGAGTATTCGAGTATACTACATGCTGAGAATTGTCCCAGACACAGGGTAGAGCAGTGAATAAAACAGACGGAGCTGCTGCTTTGCCCTCCTAGAGCTTGTACTCTGATGTCGGAGAGCGGCAGTGGAAACATGGCGTTTATACGTAAAGTGTATCAGGTGGTTTAAGTGCTACGAAGAAAACCAAAGTAAGGTAAGGAGATCTGTGACTGACTTTTTAACTCAAGACTGTGTTTCTGAAATTTATCCATAATGTTGCATGTACTTGGAGATTGCTCACCTGCCAGGATTGAGAGTCGACAAACCTCTCATTCTTTTTTTGTTTTTGTTTTTTAACTACCAAAGGGTGTGTGTGAGTGCTCACCAGAAAGAGACAAAGAGAAGGAGAGGAGGCATCCCCTACTGGGGCATAGTCATGCCATAATCCCTGTCCTCCATTTTTCCATTCTGTTAGGGTTTGGGGCACACATGCGCATATGCCTCCGTGTTTCTCAAGCCACTGGGTCTGGGATTTGAATTGTGCAGTCAGCCGTATGAGATCTGACTCCCTTAACCACTAGGCCACCAGTCTTACCCAAGACGATTTTACTTTTGTTTATTTATTTATTTTTTGTAGAGGTTTTTGCTGTAGGGCACATGCCCTCTCCAGAGAGACAGAGACAGGCAGAAAGAGAGAAGCGCCCCCCCAGGGGGGATGGCCACGCCGCAGTCCCTTCTCCTCATTCTCCTCTCGGGATCTTGGGCACGCATGCACACGCGCCCGGCGTGAGTTTAAGCCACCGCGTCCGGGACTTGAACTATGGTTGACTACATGGGAGTCCAGCGACATAGCCATTACGCTAACTGCTGGTCCTAAGAAGATTTTACTTTTAGGGGTCATTTTTAGTTGATAACTTTTTTTTAAAAAAGACTTTTGTCATAGGGCACTTGTGCTTGCTGGAGAGAGACAGAGAAAGATATGTAGAAAATCATCCCCTCAGGGGGCCACACCGCAATCCCTTCTTCATTTTCCTCGCAGGATTTTGGGCATGCCTACATAGGTGCTCAGTGTGAGTTTCAAGCCTTCAGGTCTAGGACTTGAGCTGTGGTTGGCCATGTGGGAATCCAGTGCCTTAACCACTATGCCACCTGCTGGCCCCTTAGTTGATACATTTTATTGGTTACAGTATAGTATTTGTAATTTTAAGTCGTACCTTTTCTTTCCAAGTTTTATTTTTCTGGACCAGTTTTGTAGTTAACATTGTTACTTATGACATAATAGGAAATGATAATGGGACCAGCAGTTAGCATAATGGCTGTCGCTGGACTCCTATGTAGCCAGCCCCAGTTTGAGTCCCGAACCCTGTGGCTTAAACTCACGCCGGGCGCGTGTGCGTGCGTGCCCAAGATCCTGAGAGGAGAATGGAGGAGAAGGGATTATGGTGTGGCCATCCCCCTGGGGGGTGATTTCTCGCTTTCCTGTCTCTATGTCTCTCTCTGACTGTCTGGGGAGCACTCACGCCCTATAGCAAAAACCTCTCAAAAAAAAAAAAAACACTTCATCAGGTATTAGAAATCTTTTTCTTGGCCAGCTCTTGTGGCACAGTGTTACCATAACACTTGCCATGCTGGGGATACATGGGAAAGTTTGGGTTTGAATCCTAAGAGCTCCCTGTGCATGTTGGGTGTGCGTACATGTGCCCATGGCCCTGGCTCGCTGGGTTGGGGATAGATCATGGCACACACCTTGTTGTGGGTGTGTTTCTCTCCCTCTCATTTGGATGAATAAATAAACTTAAAAAAAAAAATCTTGTTCTCTTAACTGCCAGGCCTTGAGAGAGCGAGAAAGCACTCCTCAAAGGGGGTGTCGTGCCCCAGTGCCTTCTCCTTTTCTCCATCCTGTGGGGATTTGGGGCATGCACACACGCATGCCTGCCGTGGTTTTCAAGTCGCCAGGCCCAAGGACTTGAGCCGCACTCAGTCATGTAGGACCTGGCTCCTTTAACTACCAGGTCGTGAGGTTGGCCCAGCCATTGTTACAGTACTGATAGGATGAAGAGGAAAAGGTAGCTGGCAGAAGCTCAGAGCTGGCTGGATTGGTCTCCGTGAAAAAGGATGGAAGAGGAAAGTGAGGATCAGAGGAGTGGAGACCTACGAGTTGGAAAGAGGAAGAAGTTTTAGAATTCATGGAGAAAAGGGATAAATGAGGGGAAAAGAGGGATTTGGGGTAGAGAAGTGTATATAAAGGTTTTTAGAAAGTTATAGTTTCTTGGCTTAATTATATTCTAGCGTATGTTTGTATCAATATTTACTTAATCATTTCTCTAATATTAGACATTTGTGTTTTTCATGTTTTTGCTAAGATAATGTAAAGGATATCTTGGTGATTGTTATTAGTCTTTATAGGTTTGACTATTAGAAGAATTTTTGGTTTGAGAGTTGTGAACATTTATTTTTATTCTTTTTTTTTTAGTAGTCTTTTTTTTTTTTTTTTTTTTTTGAGTTTTTTGCTATAGGGCATGTGTGCTTGCCAGAAAGACAGAGAGAGACAGAGAGACAGAAAGCGAGAAATCACCCCCCAGGGGGGATGGCCATGCCACAGTCCCTTCTCCATTCTCTTCTCGGAATCTTGGGAATACATGAGTTTAAGCCACCTGTCAGGGACTCAAACCACGGTTGACTACATGGGAGTCCAGCGACATAGCCATTACACCAACTTCTGGTCCCTCTTTTTTCTTTTTTAAATTTATTTTAATTAATTTATTTTGTGAACATTTATTTATTTTTAAGCTTTTTAAAAAATAATTATTTACTTTAAATTTTATTTATCATTATTATTAGTTTTTAATTTGATACACAGAGCACACGTGCTCACCAGAGAGAAATAGTGAGAGTGAGAAACTGAGAAAGCATGCCACCAGGTCCAGGACTTGAACCATGATAGACCATGTGGGAGTCCAGCACCTTAGCTACCACACCACCTGCCGGCCCTTGTGAACATTTATTAAGCTCTTTATGTTCCTAAGTGCTGAACCAATTGTTTGAGGTTCCTAATTTTTCAATAAGTAAACATTACCAGAGGGTGGCTTTAAATTATTATTATTTTAAACAATAATTATTTAACTGTTATTTGTTTGTTCATTTATTTTAATTTGATTAGAGAGATACAGAGAGGGAGGGAAAGTGAGAAACAAGCCACCAGGTCTGGACTTGAACTGTGGTCTGCCATGTGTGAGTGTCCAGCGCCTCAACCGTCACACCACCTGCTGGCTCTGGACCTTGAAATTCTTCGTCTTTTTTCTGTTTTTTGTTAGAGAGATTTTTGCTACAGGGCTTGTGCTCTCGCCAGAGAGACAGAGAGTGAGAAATCACCCCCCAGGGGGATGGCTACACCCCAGTCCCTTTTCCTCCATTCTCCTCTTGGTATTTTGGGCACCATGTACACACACCCAGCCTGAGTTTTAAGCCGCCTGGTCCGGAACTCAAACCTCAGTTGACTATGTGGGAGTCCAGCGATGTAACCATTGCGCCATCTGCTGGCCCCAAAATTCTTAAAATCTTTTAAAATAGAGGTCATTTTCACGTGACCTTCCTCTGACCCCTTGTTTTCAGACCCAGTAGCTGTCAGAGAGAAGTGCACCTTGTTTTGGTGTTTCATGACGACCTGTTCTTTTTTTTTTTTGAAAGATTTTTCACTATTGGGTGTGTGCACGCACTAGAGAGAAAGTGAGAAATAACCCCTGGGGGATGGCCACTCTATAGTCCCTTTTCCTTCATTCTCCTCTTGGGATTTTGGGCATGCACACAACATGCTTCTGGCGTGAGTTTTAATCCTCTGGGCCTGGGGCTCAAACTGTGGTTGACTACGTGGGAGTCCAGCCATGTAACCATTATTCCATCTGCTGGTCCCACGATGACCTAGTCTAAGACTTAGCACATTTGCACGAGTGAGTTCTTTCTGCCTGGTGGCCTGTGTGCTCCTTTTATTGTGTGTAGTTCAGAGTGCATTTCTCCCCGTGGTTTGTTGCTTGTTTTCCTCTTTTTTTATACTGAACAGTGTAATAAAAATAATAAATTACATTTGTATAATGTTTTATTGGTTCTAAAGCGCTTTGATATATATTATTTCATTTAATCTGCATGGCATCCCCAATGGGCAGATTGCCGTATTTCATGTAAGAAAAAAATGAGACCGTTACCAAGGTTACCCCGTTAAGTTGTGGAATTGGGACAGAAACCCAGGTTTTTTCTGTATTGTCTGGGTGGTATAGATTAGTAACTAGGCTGTAAATTCTAGAGCTAAAGTGCTTGTCTTCAGGACATGACTGTCACTTAGCTGTTGGGAAAGTTTCTTATCTTCTCTTCCTCAGTTTCTTCCTCTGCACAGTGGGAAGAACACTAGTCTTTGCCTTGCATGTTTCTTGATCATTGATGTGTAGAAAATATGTAGAATATTCAGAGAATGTTAGCTTGGTCACTACCACAGTACCAATACCAACTCCACTGTCATCACCTCGGCCATATCATAGTCTTTTTTTTTTTTTTTTTTTAAAGTTTGCTATATGGTACCTGTGCTCACTGGGGAGAGAGAGAGAGAGAGAGAGAGAGAGAAAGTGAGAAAGTGAGAAAGTGAGAAATCACCCCTCTGGGGGATGGCTACACAGCAGTTTCTTCTCCTCTATTCTCTTGGAACTTTGGGCACATGCAAACATGTGCCCAGTGTGTTTTTCAAGCTGTGGGGACTTGAACCACATAGTTGGCCATGTGGGATCCAGCCGCCTTAACCACTGTGCCATCTCTTGGCCCCATGGGCTTCTTTGATTTCCAGAGCTAGACAGCTGGCAGCTTGATTTTCTTTTACTATGGGCTTTTGGGCTAAGTTCTAGAGCAGCTGTGGTACAGATTCTGGTGATACTCTTTATTTGCAGAAGAACAAGACAATGAAGAAAGTGAGAAAAGGAGAAAGAAGAAAAAGGGTGCCAAGAGGAAACGAGAGGGAAAGGGTCAAGAAGAAGGGACCTTGACTTACGACGTGAAACTCGATGACATGCTTGACCGTATTTTAGAGGATGGTGCCAAGCAGCACAACCTAACAGCAGTCAACGTGCGAAACATTCTTCACGTGAGTAAGACTTGGGCAGCTTTGTAACCGGGATGGAAATTTCCCACAGAAGGCAAATACAAACCACTCAGCACGTTCTTGACACTTGCGACGTGAGAATTACAGTTGCAGGGTACCTGTGACATCCATTTACATTTCAAGATGGCTTTCTCTTTGCACTCAGCACAAGCATGAAATCTGATTGCATATTAAAGCAGAGTATAATCTCAAAGATAAACTGTTCTTCTGCTTCCTTTTTCTGATTGGATTGTTGATTGTCATACTCAAAGTGGATGATGTCCACAGCAGATTTACTCTTCTGTGGGCCCATGTGTTCCTAGTGCTCTGGATGTATATAGCAGCACAGCTGTTTGCAGAGCCTTGCTGTTGGTTACTGTTACCCCTGAGCCTGCAACTAATTATCTCAGGATTCCTCTTCCTGTGAGCCATTGCTGTTCCTGTAGCCGCTAATGAGATCTGTCCACTTGCTGCTCCGGAGTTTGAACCTGTGTGCTTCTGTCCAAAACTTGTTTCTGCCTTCTTTTGCTTTCAGTTGCCTTGCTTTTCTTCAGTCAGAAGCTCTTTGAGTGTGTAGCTCTCCTTTAGGAGTTGCTTAGATGTGAGTATGGTCTAAATGGCAAACACTGATTGCATGAAGTGAAATTTGATCTTTCTCCAGGAAGTAATCACAAATGAACACGTAGTAGCTATGATGAAAGCAGCCATCAGTGAGACGGAAGACATGCCAATGTTTGTGAGTAATTGATTGTTCCTCTTCTGAAGTTGGGAGGCAGTTGAAAGCCTCTGTGACGTGGCTGAAAGCAGGTGGTCCTTTAGGGATTTGTAGACAGTTTGACAGTGGGGGTAAAGTGAGCATTTCAAAACCCAAGAATCACATGGTGATTTTTATTGACTGTTTTGTTTCTATTTGCCACTCCTTAGGAGCCTAAAATGACACGCTCTAAACTGAAGGAGGTGGTGGAGAAAGGAGTGGTAAGTGCTTTTTTTTTTCTTCTTTATTTTTTTGGATTGGTAAATAGAATCTAATTCCATATAATTTGGAAAGAAGAAAATATAGGAAAGATTGGTCTGTTTTTCACGCTTTAAAGAATTATTTGTGAGCCAGCTGATGGCATGGTGGTTAAGGCAGGAGGATCTCACATGGCCACCTGTGCAGTTCCAGTCCTGGGCCTGGTGACTTGAGAAATACGCTGGGTGTGTATGTACGTGTACCCAAAATCCCAAAAGGAGGGAAAAATGGAGAAGGGATTGTAGCATGACCATGCCCCATGAGAGGTGCTTTCTAATTCTCTCTCTCTCTCTCTCTGGTGAGCACATGTGCCCTCTGGCAAATTTAAAAAAAAGAGCGAAAGAAATTTGTAAACTATAAGCAGAGAAAACATATTAATTAAGTCATTATCTCTCATATATGTAATATATCTCTCAAATACATATATATGTATATCTCATAAATACACACACACGTATATAGATTTTAAAATTTGTTATAGGGATGTGTGCTAGGTAGAGACAGGGAGAGAAAAAGTGAGAAAATGCTCCTAGGGGCATGACCATGCCACCATGCCACAATCTCTTGCCCTCTGTTTTCCTCTCAGGATTGGGTACTAACATAGTCATGCAACTTTGAATGGTTGAAACCAATGAAGGAAGCATTTTTCTATTCATGTAACATGTCACATGTGGCAACATAGAGTAGCTTATGTATAATTTTTTAGTTTTCTATAGGAGATGTGACTTGTTGGAGAGAGGAAAAGAAACAAGGAGTGGTGGCCACGTCACAGCTCCTTCCCCTCCCTTCTCCTTTCCGGACTAGCATGATTTTCAAGCTGCTAGGTCTGGGACTTGAGTCATGTGGTCAACCATGTAGGCTTCAGCTGCCTTAACCTCTATACCATCTGTTGGCCCTCCCTAACCTGTTTTTAAGCAGACAATGACTTCTTTTTTCTTTTTAAAGAATTATTAAATTAAATTAATTAATTAATTATTATTCAGTTTGTCCAGAGAAAGAGAGAGAGAAAGAGAGAAAGAAAGTAAGCTGCCCGGCCTGGGACTCAAACCATGGTCAGCCATGTGGGAGTCCAGCGCCTTAACCACCATGCTACTTGCTGGCCCCTTTTCTTGGGAGTTCAGTGACATAGCCATTACACTAACTGCTGGCCCCTAGTTTTAAGAATTTTTAAAGGGGACCAGCAGTTGGCTTAATGGCTATGTCGTTGTACTCCCGCGTAGTTGACCGCGGTTCAAGTGTCGGACCTGGTGGCTTAGACTCACTCTGGGTGCATGTTAGTGTGTGCCCAAGATCCCAAGAGGAAAATGGAGGAGAGAAGGGATTGTGGTGTGGCCATCCCCCCTGGGGGGTGGTTTCTTGCTTTCTATATCTCTGTCTGTCTCTGTCTTTCTGGTGAGTGCATGTACGCTATAGCAATAACTTCTCAAAAAAAAAAAAGAATTTTTAAACTTTATTTTAATTTGGCCATAGAGGGACAGAGTGAGAGAGAGAGAGAGAGGGAAAGTGAGAAAGCAAGCCGCCATGGACTCGAACCATGGTCAGTCGTGTGGGAGTCCGGCTTTCTTAACCACCATACCGCCTGCCAGCCCACACTTTGTTTGAACATTGAAGTACAAGAAGCAGTCGAAGACTTCTGAAGTATCACATTGAGGTCTACAATCATCCCGTTCCCTTTTTTTGTGTATGTGAGAGACTTTTTTCTACAGGGTATGCACACTCAACAGAGAGAAGACAGAAACGAGAAATCACTCCCCCCCCCCCAGAGGGGATAGCAATGCCATATTCCCTTCTCCTCCATTTTCCTCTCGGAATTTTTAGCATGTATGCATGTGTGCCATGTGTGAATTTTAAGCCGCTTGACCCAGGACTTGAACCATGGTCGGCCATGTGGGAGTCCAGCGACATAACCATTACGCCAACTGCTGGCTTCCCCATATCCTTCTTAATAAGCATTTATTCAGATTGTATTTACCTTCTGTGACAAGGAAAGTGATAGTCCTGAGAAAGTCCATTCTTTCTCTGATTGTGAGAAGGCCTGTGGACCTAAAATGCTATATTACAGGTTTTCTTTTTTTTTTTTCTTTGTGAGAGGTTTTTGCTGTAGGGTGTGTGTGCTCACCAGAAAGACAGAGAGAGACAGAGAGACAGAAAACAAGAAA